AAATTATTAATTATGGTACCATATGTTAGGTTGACCAGTTACAGGTGTAAATTTCTGTTCATTTTTATACAGTTAAACCATAGTTGCCAGCTTTGTTTATATTTTTGACATGACTTACAATTTTACCATTGAATCAATGACCTCAATCTTCACAGCTCAAAGGATGTCAAACTAGTTTTATGCCATGGATGTACCACTAGCTTAATTCATTCCTATCAAACACATGAAACAAGCATGTGGCTCCTTAATACTTCAATCATGCTTGGTATACATCATAATATACATCAAATTTTATACATCGCAATGTGGCAACATATCATTTGACAATTTTAAATAAATAAAAAATCAATTTTTAACGCAATCATTACTTGACAACAATGGTAATGTCAACCATGATGTGCAAAGAATGATGTACAAGTGACATTATTCGTCGTCCCTTTGAACTATTTATACTCTAGGACATTCAGGGACCAAAAAAATTTAAATGGGGGCAATTAGGTCCTGGACGTACAACTTCTAAGAAATCTTAGATTGGCTAGGAACGTACTGCAGTGTAGACTAGAGGGCCTACTTTAACCACCGAAGATGACACTGCTGGTGACACCCCACCCCACCCCACCCCACCCCACCAATCAATGATAGAATGTCACTTGAGCATTCTGTCACCCAAGATGTTAGTATAGCATAACCCTCCCAAAATCGGCCTGGAATCCCAAAATCCATAATTCCATTTAGAAAAAGAATTTACAAATTTGAATGTACGAATATTAAAAAAGAAAATAAAAATAAAAATTACTATTATTTATAAACTAATACCTAATTAGATTTAGAGTATCGAGCTAACAGTACATTATGAATATGTACACTGGTTTAAAATTAGAATGAAATCATAGATTGAGTTGTCACACGCCCTGACTAGGTGCATTATTGGTGAAGAGAAACGTCAAAAAGAAAAAAAAAAAAAATTAAAACTCGTTTATTACATTATTCAACCTTTATCTAATATGCGCATCTACCCTAGACCCTAGTTACATGTTCTGCGAAGAGACTCGAATAGCACTGAATGGTATGATAAATTGTAACTGTCATACAATTTACAGTGCCTTGTTCATCAACTGTTTTTATTTCATAAAGCATAATAAAGTAATTTACCTTCAGCAGAAACTAGTTTACATGGTAACAAGGAATTATTGAGTAATATAAACTAGTCTCTTTAAATTACAAATTTCATTTCTCAGTATTTTAGCGATTTTATTGTCAGTGCAGAACACTGTGAATGCTATACACCTCAAAATTTGGGAAAGAATCCTCCTGAAGCTGGCAATCCTCCTCCTCTAATCTACAATATGAAACAAAGGTTTCTTGAGAATAAGTTACATCACCTTTTACTTACACGAAGTCCGGTTGTCCAGTTGATGTCAAGCAACGATGCCACATACGGCTGTCGGGTTCGACAACCTTGGGCTGGGCAATGACCTCAGGAATCGGAAAATAGACATAGTGAGTGTTGCATATCCCCACTGTGATGCCACTATATCCAGCAAATGCACCATGGACCTGCCAAAATATTTGTGTAGATTGATGAAATATAACCTAAAATTTTTTTTGATAGGTAGAAATATAACCTAAAATAACTGACTTCAATTGATTAAAAGCCAAATATTATAGCTTGAGCTACTCTATGGTAAAACAGCTCTACATTAAAGATACAGTTCGTTCATTTAAATTTCGCCATTTCAATCAAATTTTCAAAACTATAGAACTGCCAGTCGGAGAATGGTAAAAGCCCGTGCATGACATGGGATATATCATTATGGCCAAAAATAAACAACAAGCCTACAAGCATCAGAGACTTACAGCATTTTGACCAAGAACAGTGCAGAGAATTCCATCTGATGCATTTGCACGGCATGCACGGATCATGTATGTTGGGTCGATGTACTTTACATCAGCTGGAAACCCAATCCCCTTGAAGTACCTTTTTGTCTATAAGAAGTAATTCAAATTGCATTAGTAGCGTATTAGGTGGACCGAACCATTGATGCATCTTACAATCAGGAGAACGTTTAACAATAACATAAGCATCAAAATACATTACAAAAAGACGGAATTTTAAGGCTTATGTAGCACTGTCTTTACAAAAATATATCTACATCAATTGGCTAATATTTATCAATCAATTTAACCAACGCAAGCATGACAAGAAGATGTAGATCAGTGATCAGGTTCAGTAGCCAACCTCTTGTTGTATATGGACGCCAATATCTCCTAATATAATGTTTCCCGATGCGTCTGTAGCATTGATTTTCTCAAGAAAATCCTGAAAACGAAAATGTGAGATATTTCTGTTTATTAAAAACACTCAAAAGCAGTCCATCAGCATTAGATTTCAGAATTAACAGACATTGACTGTAATTAACTAGTTATATTCTAACAGCACATTAGGAATTCTGAAATTTGAAAATGAGAGCTTTATCATATTCTTACAAGAGCTTCTCACTGGTGAAGAGAGAGAATTTTTAAGTTGAGAAAAAGAATGGCAGAAGAATTTACTCCTGCCTTTCAGGGGGAAAAATATAAGAACAAACATACTGATACACTGTACTCACAATAGCAGTAAATTTGTCAATAGTGAGTTTTCTTGATCGTCAATTCTTTTTTCCAAATTGCAAAAGTACTTGGGCAACATATTCTTTCCAACTGAAAACCTATGGTAAAACCTCTCTATAAAATAATACGTTTGGACAGATATTGATAATTGAATAATTTATTACTTCGTTGATAGATTATGTAGTCATTTCTAGTTAGAGTTATTAAAATGATGGATGCCGAGCACCTCTTGAATTATCCTAGTGAAAATGATATGACGATGAATAACCTACTGATAAAAGGGGGATTAAACATACTGACCGAGAATGATCATGATTTTAAATGGTAGCTTTGATTTAGCGTGTGTTTCTCCAAATGAATTTCAAGCATCGTAACTTTAAAAAATTACTTTATACAACAGAGAATTAAAAAAAAAAAAAAATAAATAAATCTGAGATGCATTGCAGAAAATTAGGGAAGATGTTGAACTCTGTTCGAGCATAAAGAAGGAGCAAGCAATTTAAATACATATTTTCAGAAAAAATTTGAATTGAAAAAACAAAAGTTAAGCAACAAGTTCTGTAATGTTGGAAATTGATAGATAATAAGTTTTATCTAAATGTTTTGTATTTACTCTAGATGATGGTAACTTTCATTGAAACCTTATATATGGGTCATTGTTACAATAAATTTTCATGCTTGAGTAATGAAAGGAAAAAAAATATATTTAAAAAAATAAAAAAATAAAAAATAAAACCACTTACATACTTGACTTTTGTTCTCTGTTATACTCTATCAATTCTTCTATCTTATTCTCTATTTTGTAAGACTTAACACGTATTATAAAATTTCACCTATTTAGTCCTGTTTGAGCTTTATTCTCTAAAAACTCATCTTTTCTCAAACTTATTTTCAACCATACGTTTTTCCAATAAAATAATTTTACAAGAAAATTTTAAATTTTTTTTTTTTTTTACATTTTAACCACGTATTCTTTAAAAAAAAAAAAAAAAAAAAAAACCGCTATTACAGATTCTATTCTCCTAAATAATGAGGCTCAAACAAACTGTTAATCAATTATTATTTATATTTGAGTAAGATTACTAATTTAGTATGGTCTTGAGTCAAGTACCATAAAAATTTATTATTTAAGCTATGTTATTAATTTGTTAAATATTCATTTATCGGCTCTAACTCCCAATTAAAAAAAAAAAGTCTCACGTTTAGATAACGTTCACTGTTGAAACATGATAAAGCATTTAATGATCAAGCTAGAGAGATTTCATATGTATGAGAAGGCATAAGCTGTCGGATTTCAAATGTTACATCAGAAAAGATTCCAAATTAATTATTTGATGTTTGTCATTGTGCTCGAATCAGAAGAAACAAAACAAGAGTATATTCATGAGGGCATGGAGGTTGGACTTTTGGCACATATGCTGAGCTTTTTATTAACAATAATAGCCATTATTTCTAAGACCTAAAAGGGAGAACATTTGTCTCACTTACCTGCCCAGCTCCTTCAGCAACACAGACTACGGCAGATCCCTTTGTCTCGAGAAGATACTTGAGATGACTCAAGACACCATGAGGTCCATGTAGATTAAAAGGCACCTACAGATGCAAGTGTCTCATGTCAATAACCAGGCCAAAAGGATTTTATAAGTGTATACTTCTTAGTTATGTTCACAGAACTCGTACCTCTGGAATCAAACATATATCAATTTGTCCGCTTGCAAGCGATGCCTGCATAGCTATAAATCCACTACTACGGCCCATTAATTTTACAATCCCAATACCATGATAAGCACTATGTGCCTGTATAGGAGTAAAAGAATCATATTTTTATAGAATTCAAAGGTACAAACCCTCAAGTAAAGTAGAGAAACGAAAAAAACTAAGTGTTTGAAGATGGAACTTCCAGGTATTAGTAACAATACAAACTCATACCTCAATGTATGCAGAATTAATTGCTCTCTGCGCTTCTTCAACAGCCGTATCAAAACCAAAAGTTTTATCCATAAGCAGGATATCATTATCTATGGTTTTTGGCACACCAACGATGGCTACCTTTAACCGTCTTTTCTTGCACTGCATAGCAAACATGGACAGACCAAAAAAAAAACTTCTTCAAAAAAATTAGCAGTAGAAGTTAACAAACACTTAACTTCAAGAACATCAGCATAAAGAAGATTAGACATGTAACCAAGACAACAACTCAAACTTGTTTTGTGATTTATCTTAATCTTAATTGATTTAAGGCATGCAGATTCTGGGTTAGGTGACCTTAATTCGATTCACGAGAAAATTACTCGAGAGATATTTTTAACACTTGAATTCCATGCGAAAGGATTATGATAGAATGAATATTGAATATTAAATGAGAGCATAACATATAGCAGAGTGCCCATTTGAGTATAAAGGCCATAGTCTTAACAACCTCTTCATGTATTGCATTAGCCCCAGCATGTGTACCATTTCCACCCAGCACAAAGAGCATGTTAATCTCTCTTTCCTGACATCAATAATTCAAGGATATCAAACAAACATACCTTGCCAAACCAATTTTATATGACAAAGCAAGAGAAAACAGGGAGTGCTACCTCCATACTGTCAACAATTTCACTGACTGAAGGTCCTCCACGTGAGACCCCTAACAAGCTTCCACCGGAGAGATGGACGTTTTGAACCACTTTCCTGGATAACTGGTAAGGACAGCGAGTTAAAAAAAAAATTATTACTATTATTTTTGCAAATTTAATAATAATCATAACTAATAAGCCTATATGAGCTTTTGGGTTATGTTTTATATGCAGTAGGCACAATCTACACACCAAAATCTGAAGTGCTGGGGTGACAAGGTAATGCTTATGACATAGCACATGTGGACCAAAAGAGGCAGACGGATAATGAATACACATATTTTACTTATACATTTCAGTGAATCAACTCAAGGCATACGTGCACAACTGAGGCAACCGGACAATTTGAGACAATATGCTATTTTGAGTAATTACACATCTTCCGGAGGCCAAAGTTCAGATCCTTATTAAAAATGTAGATTGTAATTAGATACGTATAGATCTAGCCCAAGAATGAAATATTAAGAGCATTGACCAACACAATCTATGATCGCTTCTCGCAGGTTGTTATGTAGAAGGATTTTATTTTGCGTGAAGAAAGATCTTTGGTTATTTTATATTGTCATACTTCCTTCCATGACAAATGGATAACATTCAAACTTCTATTTTCAAATTAGTGAAGGAACTTACTGGCATTTCAGCTAAACTTTCCTCAGAAAACCCACGATAACCAAAAGGAATTCCCACAATCTTTTTCACACCATATATTTCAAGGGTGATGACAATCTGCATCCATAACAAAAAATTAGGAAGTTAAAATTAGAATTAACAATTACTTCACAGTTTCAAGGCTCTTCACAGATTGCAAGTTAGTACCAAACATCCCAGGTTAAAAGTCAAAATGTTAACAAATCAAATTTACACTACAGTAGTTTAGTTCATGCATTTCAATTGTGGCTATGTCCTTTCTTCTGAACAAATGTTCATTTATGTAGGTGAAATCAATTATTTAAGTGACCAAGCAATAGTACTACAATTTAATCTCCCAGCAAAAAGAGTTTGGAAAATAAATTAGTGAAGTCTTTCAATTGAATCAGAGGCTACTTTAGCTGTAGAGCGACAAGAATAAGATAATATAGAGAAAGATATATAAAATGAAACGAGTAAAGCATTAGTGTACGGAAAACACCTGTCTGATGACATCATTAAGACCGGGACAAAGTCCTCCACAAGTAACAATTGCTGCTTTTACCTCTTCTGGTTTGAAGTATATTTTTTCTCGGGGACCAGCACGGTGAACCCTGAAATATAAGTGACAATTTCAATGAAATAATGAGTTGATTACCTTTACCTTTAATAGGATAAAATCTAGGATGACAAAAATTATAATCAGAAAAGCTTGTGATGAAAATCTGAAAAATGCTTCAATGTGACTAGGTAATCTAAGTTTTGAAATGATGAGGAGAAACGTTTACCCATCAATTTGACATTCTGGATCACATTGAAAAGCTAGTGGTATATCTGAATAAATCCAGCCAACAAAAATACATATTGCAAGGATTTAATAGGGGAATTAATCCAGTTCAGCAACCTTTCCATTCAAAACCTCTGAGCATATGATGAAAATTAAAGTAAATGGTAAGGTTGATGACATTACCACCATTACATGTTCTAGACCCGAGGAAGACCAGGCTGATGTGAATATAACAGAAAAGACATGATAGTGAATTTGTGCTAGCTGCATATTGCACCTTTAACCTTTAAGAAATCCGTGAGGGAAGGGGAATTATGAGGATTCTTATATTAAGCTCAAGTGGAATGAATGAATCAAGAGAGAACAATGTGTTGAGGACACGCCTCTTTCATCTACTCCGGGAACAGTACACGAATCTCTGCTTACACTAGACAAATATGTAGTTAAAAAGTTTCCCTAGATTTGTATATTTTGATGTCTTTAGAAACCATGGGCAATTACCGAGTTTCCATGTCAAAGCATTGTACTAGTAAATGGAAAATCATTTTAAAGTACTTAAATGTTTGTCAACCGTTAAAATATTACCATTGCTCCACCCATGTACAACCAGGATCAATACACTCAGCACCTGCAGAGGTAGGAGAAGAATAATGTATGACCTGAAACCATGGCATACATAGTCAGAGGCAATAGCATAAAAACAAAACATATGCTAACTAGTCTCTGGTGCCTGTAGATGTGAAATAATTTCTCTTTTGGCAAGCCAACTTCAGAAAATTTAAAAAGCCCCAATTTTACATGTATACATTACCTATCTTAATCAAATAGTGTGGAAAGAACACGTGTGCTACCATGTTTCTATATGCACACATGTATGTAACATATCCAATATTCAATTTTCATTTTCCAGGCGGTCTCTCACGAGGTATCTTCTTGCACATCTTAAGTATCAGAATTCAGCAATTAAATGCTAATCATGGGTGCAATCTTATAGTGATATAGTAATTTGATAAGAAATGAATTTTAGATGCCAACTAAACCAATCTAATCTAGTAACAAAAAAGTAGGGAATATGCTCGTTATATGAAATCACTCCTAAAATCTACAAATGACAAAAAAAACCCATCTAATCTATTAATTAAGATTAGAAATTCTAAGAAGCAGATTGTTGGCATTATAAACACGTCAATAGTGGTAATTGATTGGCATGAAAGACAAACAGCAAACAAAAAAACAAACAAATGGACAAATGCATAATACCTTAAGCAGTACTCTGTCGTTATTGTTAACATAACCGTGCCATTCCTCGTCTGAAGGATAACGTTCTGCAAAATCTGGAATTATTGGAGTCCTGTTACAGAATCTAAAATTATTTTCTTCAAATAGGAAGAGCAAGTGTCCAGCAAAAATTTCAGCTAGCTTTTCATTCAATATCTGGTAATTGTTTAGCCACAAGCGAAAGACTTGGACTTTGGATTCAAACATATCTAAATTAACAATAAAATAGTTGAGCACAATTAGGGCATTATATACCGAGGATAAAAAAGTTGGACATCAATAAAAGGTAATCCCCTTTAGCTGATTAGCCGACAAAATAAAATTGATCCAACTATTTATTATCAAAATAAAGGTTAATTCACAAAGTTTAACAACGAAATCTTCAAAAATCAAGATCACGTGAATTCCATGCACGTGCAGGTTTTTCTAGAAAACTTACTCCAAAAACTAGCAAAAAACACAGAACTTTTATTTTTATTATAATTGGAAATTTAAGAAACAGCTACCTCATTTTAAGGCAGAAAGTGGAGGGGTAAGAAATGGCATCGGGGAGGACATCAGTGATGTGCGGGATGTTGAAACGCGCCTCAAAGTCTTGCTGGTACTTTGACTTCCAATCTGGATCGCTGAAATCAATACTCGGTGCACTACTAGCAGTAGAAGCCTGATTGTGCGCAGCCGCTTTCACCTTCACAATCCTCGGAATCCGGATCAGATTCGAATTCTTAAACGGTCCAATCGACCCGAAGAACATAAACCCATGATCACGGAAAGTACTCGCCGGCGAATGAACTAATCCCGGATTGATCACCGGCAAAAGCGCGTCCATTTAGTTAGTAAATAGAATATGCTACCTGAAATTGGAAGTAGTGTCAATGAGTATGTGTATGTGTTTATATACAGCAATTATTTATAAACACAAACACAAAATTCAGGGGGAGAGAGATCGGAGAGTGGCGGAGAAAGAGAGAGCTTTGGATTTGTTTGGTAGTTAAAATACAGTCTGTCTTTTTCCTCTTTTTATGTCAAAGTTGAACGTGGCTTATAAAAGCGGCCTTTTAGTGTGACCGAATTGGCCCTCTCTTGGAAATGAATTTACCAAAAACTAGCCCTACACCGGACCGTCGATTCACCTAACTCTGGTTATAAATTGTCAAACTTGACTATCGCTTTGTTTTTAACAAAAATGTATGATAGTTTAAAATAAATAAATAAATTTGACCTAGAGCCTGTTGGGGGAGTGATTTTAAGAATTGATTTTTTGATCGTTACGAGAAAAATGGGATCCACCTGTGAGAGAAGAAGTCAAATATGACGACTGAAATAGTGAAATAACGACCAAAAAATTAATTTTTTGGATAAAAAAATCGCTCCCAAACAGGCCCCTAATGACTTGACGATGTAACCTCAACGAGTGTACATTGTAACTCTTACTCACTGTGGATGAAATATCATTTCTGTATCTTTTTAGTATTAAACATTTCAAAACTCATCTTTTTGTTCATTTTTACTGTTAAAGTCACGTAAAATAATTAATTTGTCTCTCTTTAAATTTAAAAAAAAAAACTAAAACTAAAACGTAGAAGAAAAATTTAGCATGAATTCTTGGGTTTGCTCTCTAATAGTCATTAGTTCGAGTTCCCTCAAAACTATTGAGATAAGTACTCGCTGTAAATCTCAGGATCCCGTGAAATTAATCAAGATGTGTGTAAATTGGCTCGGACACCAATGATGATTAAAAAACAAAAAAATAGCATGAATCTAATCTTTTTAAAAATTAAAAATAGATCCCAATAAAATATAATTGACAAAATAAACTAGAAAAAGAAATTAAAAAAATGTATCTTCTTCATCAATCTCTTAAAGCACAATCAGTCAACTGCCACCATTATCCCCACCCCACGACCAAGTAGTAGAGTAAGCTTTTGAAGCTTCAAACATATGAAAAATATTCCAATCATAAAATATTAGAATAATTGATTAAAATTTCCCTCTCATCAAACAACAATTAGTCATTTACATTTTAAGTGAGTCACGAGATAGAATCTAACGTATTATATTTCCAAAGAAATGTACGAATATATTCTTTGTCGCCACTTAGGTATATTCCATTGAGACCATATTTCATTTGATTAAAGAAAGTATTTTTAAGTATCATGTCAGTGACCAAAAAATGGAAGAATTTTCACCTCCATTTTGCATTGTTAAATCCCATTAATAAAGAAGATGTTGATTGCACAGTCAATTCATCGATGCCAGAGAGAGACAAGCTAGGAATTAGGAAGTATCGGCATTGCAATTTGCAAATCATCGTGTTTCGTTTCTTTGCTTTAGAAAACAAACAAACTTGAGGACAAGTGTCCAACAATTTGAGATTGAATATATCTTCCTTGAATAATTCATTTGTTTTGATAGAAAAATAAGAAGTGATGATGGCTAAGGTTATTTTGCAACAGCTTGTGAAAAATAAGTTGAAAATTCGTGCTGTTTTGAGTAGAGTTCATTTCTTCTTTTTGGAAGATCAAATTAGATTTGTCTACTTTTTTGTAAAATCTAAAAACATCGAAATCATATATATACTTGGTCGAAATGATTTTGGATGGATGAGAAGTTGAAGTTGGACGATATCATTTAAAGTTGTACAGGTGTTGGAGTGTGATACGGGTTGCTAGAAAAGGCCACCCTCGACGTACAAGCAAGATGGATCACTATACTTCTACGCAAGGCCGTCGACCCCCTCTGGGGGCGCTCTATCATTACCCTCGGGGAGCGCTCTACCACTACGCAAGGCCGTCAACCCCCCTAAGGGGCGCTCTACCATTACTCCTGGGGAGTGCTCTACCACTACGCAAAGCCATCGACCCCCTATGAGCGCTCTACCAATACCCTCGGGGGCGCTCTACCACTATGTGAGCTCTTCAACGGGCACGAACTAGCCAACCCAAACACTTAATCATAAAACCTCTAGTAAATTGACTAGGTTCCATGGCAATTAACACGGGTACAACCTCCAGGCGGGAAGATAAAGACCCCCCACTCAGAACGTGGGGGTAGTGGGAATGCCAACGTGGGACACGTGACACCACAACTGCTCAGCGGTTATCCAGCTCCCAATATCAATAAATACCCCAGATGTGACACAGGTAAGGCTCTCTCTGACTCTTTTTAGCCATCTGATTTTCAATTACAAGTCTAAAAATTAATTCTCACGTCGGAGGTAAAACAGGGGAGGAAGCCCCGCCTTCATTTTTCTGGTCACAAACACTTGACGGAGCAGTCGGAATATCGAACGCCACAAGGCAGATAGAAAGGTATTGTTCCACAACCGATCGTCCGACCAGTCGGTCGGATTTTTTTTGGCGTCGATTGGGCCCTCATCGCTACTCTCATTGGAAGAAGAAGAAAATATTGTTTTATACATGGCAACAAAAAAGATGAAGAGAAATTCAAAAAAAGACTTGGGATTAAAAAGGAGAGACCACCCTCGACGTACAAGTAAGATGGATCACTACACTTCTACGCAAGGCCGTTGACCCCGTTAGGGGCGCTCTACCATTACCCTCAGGGAGCGCTCTACCACTACGCAAGGCCGTCAACCCCCCCTAGGGGTGCTCTACTATTACCCCTGGGGAGCGCTCTACCACTACGTAAAGCCGTTGACCCCCCATAAGCGCTCTACCAATACCCCCGGGGGCACTCTACCACTACGCGAGGTCTTCAACAAACACGAAATAGCCAACCCAAACACTTAGCCATAAAATCTCTAGTAAACTAACTAGGTTCCATGGCAATTAATACGGGTACAGCCTCCAGGCAGGAAGATAAAGACCCCCCCTCAGAATGTGGGGGTAGTGGGAATACCAACATGGGACACGTGACACCACAACCGCCCAGGGGTTATCCAGCTCCCAATATCAATAAATACCCCGGATGTGACACAGGTAAGGCTCTCTCTGACTCTTTTTAGCCATCTGATTTCCAATTACAGGTCTAAAAACTAATTCTCACGCCGGAGGTAAAGCGGGGGAGGAAGCCCCGCCTTCATTTTTTAGGTCACAAACACTTGGCGGAGTAGTCGGAATATCAAACGCCACAGGGCAGATAGAAAGGTATTGTTCCACAACCATTTCAGAGTGAAATCAATTGTAAAAGTATGAAAAATGATAAGTCGATGACTAGTCTATTTATAGTTACATTTATGAAGGTGTAATCATATGTAATATATGGACTCTCACATATGCACATAGTGAACAATGTCTCACCTCCTCTATGCCACCTTCGTCCTCACTGTTTCTCCCTCACTCTGCCATCGGCTAACCTGAATCACCTTGGTTTGGGCCCTCCTAATCTAGTCTAAAATTTGAGAAATTTTTCATATAGATGTTCGGGACGAAGAGGAAGATTATTAGTAAATGTATTTTATACGCTTATTCGAGTCTAAAAATATAGACATTTAATAATTTTTTGATTAATTATTGTTTAATTTATCATATATATCGTTTATTAGCTTAAACTTGATGATTGAAAATTAAATTGAAAAAAAAAAAAGAATCAAGAAAGAGGGGAATACAAAGTTCGAGGACAACTACTTAATAGTTGATTCAGACCTAATATCGATTATTGGAGGAGGCTTGGACTCATTTGGATGTAACTGAAAGTAAAATGATCGAATTGTAAGAAAAAAATGAATTCAAAGAAGCAAGAATCAAAAGATGGGGACTAAATTAAATAACTCCTAAAGTCATTGTGGCACGTGAGCGGCTGAAGAGGCCGGTACACCAATGCCGATTTGCATGAATTTTAATAGGGAAGGCCATAATCCGGAGCGCCTTCAAGATATATACTAGTGTGGTCGCGGTACAAGTCTAGGACCTTTTGTGCAATTTTCAGCAAGCAATAGAATTCTCTACAAACGCCAATTTTAACACGATTTTCAACCAATTTCCGAGCATTCTAAATACAAAACATCAGAATGCATTTAGGGGCACCTCTCATACTCCTAAATTCATCAATAAACACCATTAAAGAGAGACCAATTTATGGCAATTTTGGGAAAATAAAGAAGCAATTGCAAGAATTAAATCAATTGACGATCAAATCTTGGTTTTGGGGCAATGAAGGGAAGGCAAACTAGAATTCATCAAGAAGTTATTGAAGATATTCAAGATTTCAATATTCATCATCATCTTCTTCAATTAATCAAAATTTGGGTAATGTATTACTCATTAATTATGATTTCTTACAATTTTGTAATGCTAGGCTAGGGTTTTAATCACTAAGACATGAATGAATCATTGTTATGAAGTTTTTAGTATACATTCAATAATTTGACGTCTAATATGTGTTTACTCATAGATAATTTTTATAGTACTTAAATATTCTTTAATTAATTAGTCAAAGTTGAACGTGCATTGCACGTTATTCTAAAATACTTTATAAGTGATGTAAAAGTAATATTTGGTACCAATTTGGTAGGGGATTTGATGAGTCTCGAACAAATTAAAGAAAATAAAATTTAGTATAGAAATTTAAGAGAAGAAAATTTTACTCAAATTGTACTTTCAAAACTCAATTTCTATGATTCAAATTTTTTGTAATGATGAAAAACTATAAATGAACAATCTTTTTATATTACATTAAATACATAAAAAAATAATTGTTAGTACATAAATTTAAACACCCATTAAAATTATTAGATACATAAATATGAATAAATTCTTTTATAATAAATCTAGATTCATATAATTCAAGATTTATCAAGTGAAAATTCATTGAATCTAGATTAATGTGAATGCTAATTAATTGAGAATTAATAACACAAATTTCATAAAAGAAAATAATTATGTAGTATTTATTACATATCGAAAAATGAAAAATAAGAAATTATTGAAATAATTGAATTGTAGGAATATCGTCCAAAAAATGATTCTCTCTTAATATAATACTTTAATATATATTATAGATTATAGATTGGCCACCAATTTGAATGTTGCATGAATTTTATTTCTCTCTCTCTCTCTCT